TCTGGTAAGTCTGTTTTTATAGCAGTGTTATGCTACGCAGATCGTACATGAGAACGTCCCTTATCGTTCCCATCAGACCTCACATTCACCATGACTTCCTTTTCATCAACATCTTAGTGAGGCCTACCACTCTGTGACAGTAAAAGCAACGTAGAATACTACAAAAGCGCTGACACTGGGAAATCAAAGCGCACGTCAAAAAATGCTCCAATAACAATGAAGGCCATTCAACCACAACATAGAATGGGAATGTTCAAAAGAGACACTGAGAGCACCAAAAGGAGCATTAGCTCTTCTTTAATCAACATTGAGTAGATAAAGTACTGTGACAATAAAACCACCCCAATAACAATGGCAAAGAATACTGCAGCAAATTAGAAGATGCATGTAAAGTCAACTTTCCAGGAGCTGTCCATTCAGCACCACTAAACTACAATTTTTATTATGAATTACTAATTATTGTGCATTTTGAATCAGCTGGGCCAATATATGGATTGTCAACTGTTTCCAAGGTCACTGATGAACTTTGAACATCAAATCCCCCCCCCAATATATGATTATATTTAATCACTTTGCCTAGACCTGTGTATTACTGATGAATTAAACAATACATAACATCAGTCAAATGATCTAGATATCTTTCAGATTAGACAATAACTGCATGACAGGCTCAAGCAGAAATTCAATAAAATGTCAATATCAACCTCCATATATCAATCTAGATTTAATACATACTAGGGCTGACCCTGAATAGTCAAAGATTTGAGGCTGATCTGACTGCCAATCTCACAGTCGAATCAACGCAACGGCATTATGAAATGAGGCTCATACCATTTTGGCGATATGGGGGAATTCAATGTCTGATTTTACATAGAACTACCAATTTTCTCCCAATGAGTTAACATACAGCCTATTACAATATACATTTCATCGTTTAATGCTGTAAATAGAAATGTGAAAAGAAAGACACTTTTAATAAATCTTTTTAAAGAGCGTGAATAAATCCAAAATTGTAACCCTAAAGAAACGACAATCAGTTGACTGTAGGCCAGTTTTGACAATTATGATTTGACTGTGTAACATACATAAAGAACTCAGTCATTGATCACTGAAGGGACTGGCTCAAGCTAAAATATAAATTAATCAATCCAAAAGTTTAGAATAAAGTTAACAAATCTGAATCTGAAATTTTCCGATAAGTTTCAAAATCTTTAATTTAAAGAGAGCATGAACACTTAACCTCTTTATTGTGCTGTTAGTTTTTCATTGCATCAAGCTTTATTCAGTTTATACCCTCTATGATTGTTACTTCTGCTGTGCAGAGTTTTAAAATAATTCTAATCAAACAAAATCTGTCAATTTAACACACGCAAATTCACACACGTGCACACATAAGACATGTATACACACATGCAAACACACACACACACACACTATCTGATGAAATTGTCACTAACACACACATAAGAGCAGTAATTCACACATATTGCCACAGTCTCTTGACCACACATACACACCCAAAAGCATGAAGACACAGACAAGTACTTATCCTCAGTTTTATACACAGACACACACTTGCTTTGTGGCATACACTACTTAGATACAGACACTCCCTCACCCAGTGTTTCTTTCATGTCTGACTGTAAAAGGTCTGAGGGCACTGAGAGAGCATTTGCATGTCAGTGTGTAAATTTGCAATTTTTACACAATTTGTGGTCGCCTGTGTTTGTGTGTGTGTGTGCGCTTGCAAATGGATTTGTTGTCACTTGTTCTCGTGCTGCTTCTGCTTTTGTGTCCTGGAGACAAAGTGAGTATGTTTATGTTTGTTTGTGCCTTATGACTCCTGTCAGTATTTAATCTTGCAGTTATAAAGTAATGTGGTATTTGGAGTTATTTGCCCCTGGTTGGGTGGGTAGCCCTGTGGGCAGGAAAAACACTTCCTTAGTTACCGTCTATTAAGCTGTGAAACCTAAAACAGCTGCACACCTTAAATTTAACTTACACATATCAGTTGATGTATAATTATTGTCCATGTTTGTTTTCACTTTCCATCTTGTGTAAGCAGGTTTACAAACAAAGGAAATTAGACAATGCTGAAGTGCCAGCTTTGAACATTGTTTAAACCTGCAGACTCGCAAAATATTCACACTAAAAACAAGTAATTTTCTTTTGAAATGCGTTTGTTTGTTTATCCCACGTGTACAGACCCTGACTGAAAGCAGTTTTATGGATTCATCTTAAATGCAAAATTATTTTCACTGGTCTCTTCAAATTCTAAACATCCCCTGATCTGGAGGTACATGTCTAAACTTTGTTCTAAAAATGAAGCCCTTTCCAGTGAGTAGGACACTCTAAGTTATGGCACCCGTCTGCCTGCCACACGCACACACGCAACACACACTTGACCCGAGTCTCTCTCTCTAAGCCCTAGACGATGAGCCGTCTGATTAGAGCTCCTCTCTGGAGTCTGTGAACAAACACACATAGCAGCCTGTGGTCTCCACGTACATGCAAGGACAAATACATCCGCACACATACACACATGCACTTTTAGAGGCTCTTCTTAAACTATGGACTCCCCACACACACACATAGTGAGATACCAGGCTGTAGTCTCTAGTCTCTAAACCCTCTCCTTTCTCATGGAGATAAGAAGTGCGTCTCATTGTTGGCAGACAACGGTCCCGTTATCATCTTATCAGAGAGCCGTCCAATCTGGAGGAGGTGGGGCTGCAGTGTCTGTGTGTGTGTGTGTGTGTGTGTGTGTGTGTGTGTGACTGGGTGAGGGTGTACTTTCCTTAAGTGGGGGTCTTTTGTCATGCAACAGGTGCTGTTGTCACTCAATTTGTCTTGATGCTAAAGACTTCTGAGAGCTGCAGTGTGTTTGCATCAGTGTGTTCAAGAACAACACAGACAGTTCAAACATCAGTTAATCCTCATTCTCACTCAGGATAAAGTGACTTACAATGTGACGACCCATCTGAAGTTGAACTTTGTAAAGATAACATGTGGCTCATTAACACAACCCCTGTCAGTGCAGCCTGTCTTTGGGAGACGGAGACTACATCCACGCGAAACCAGACAATGTCAGACAACAGAACGACTGTTAAATAGTAATTTGATTATAGCTCGCTCACTCACTCACTCACTCACTCACTCACTCACTCAGTGAGTGCTGATCAAATCAAACATAATGACTGGTTAATGACAACAGCTGTCCTTCAGCTATATTGACATTTAAAGTGATTGATCACAAAGAAAATTTGTCGTTTTTCCTGTACGAGCTGAAACTGCTAATGGAGCGATGGATAAAACACACGCCTTTGGTGTGAGAGACCCGGGTTCAATTCCCCACTGTGACCCATCCACCATTGTGTCCCTGAGCAAGACACTTAACCCCTAGTTGCTCCAGAGGCGTGCGACCTCTGACATGTATAGCAATTGTAAGTCGCTTTGGATAAAAGCGCCCGCTACATGAATAAATGTAAAAACCAAACCTGTTTTTTATGATTTTTTCACTCCAGAGATCGTTTTGGTAAAGCTGTGAGATAAACACCAGTTAAGTGTTGATGGAGATCCAAACTGAAGTGAAAAAGTTTTTAAATAGCTGTCTTAATGCAGACGTACTCTGGCTCATAAGTACTTAAAATAGTAGAACGACCAATATTTTCGTCTTCTGCGTGTTTTTGACCTGGTTATTTGCAATTAGACATTAGTTGTGTAATGTCAGTTCTATAATTGTGCAACCAAGCCCACAATTAAAGGAAAAAGCATTGCAGTACTTTTTATTGTTGTTAGGTTGTTAAGTGTGAGTTTGCTGTGAGGCAAACAAACAGATCTGTACCTTATAAAAATGGATAAATATACATACATATATACACAGGTGGAGGGCACTTGCTCCGCCTTTACTTGTGGCTGAGAGGCTGCTCCCAAATAGTAGCTGGACACAGGAAAGTAGAGATCTGTGTGGGTAAATGGGAGCGTTCAGAAAGAAGAGAAATCAAGAGAAGTTACCACAGCTGGTCCAGGAGCTTCGCCAGCATGACGGTCTGTTCAAGGTTTACTTTAGGATGAGTCGGGGACAGTTTGACAAAGTTTAAAGTAAGCTAACATTAGCTTAACACAAACCTTGAACTGGAGGCAACCAGTTAACTATTAGAATAGTTTAAATAAATTAAAACAACTTTCCTGAAATTGCATGTACAGCTTCCAGGCTGGCTGTTTTTTGTTCTTATCATGGTAGCTACTGTTGGTAAAATCATAGAGCTCCAGGTCTCCAGCAACAGCCACCACTGGTTTTTCTTCCATGACTGTTATTTCTAAGCAACTATAAACTTTGTTGTCACCTCCACAGAAGGTCTGCCTCCCAATTCATCTGATTAGACAATGGGGAAAAAAACATACAGTAAATGACATTGGGCGGAGTTCTACTCTGAGTTTTTAAACTCAAGGCGTTCATAACATTCGTGCAAAAATGCGAGATGCTTGGGTTTCATTAGCAGCATAAAAAAGGCTTACTACCTATTAGAAAACAAGTGGACAAAGATGCCTCTTACATGCTATGTATAAAGAGGATGGATGGGAAAAGCCCGGCCTTGTGCTTCAGTGTAGACAGATAAAACTGAGCTTTTTTTTATGATGAGTATCTGCTCAGACACGGTTCTCTGTGCTCTGTGAGCCCTAATTTTGAGTGCCAACATAGCCAATCACGTATAAGATTATTATTAACCTGTACTTATGTATAATTTGTCATGGGACTTTCTTATTATACATTTTAATTTGATCTGATTTGACCAAATGACTATTTTATACTCGTTCAGTTGTCTGACACCAGAAACATAAAAACATGTAAATGAAAACAACTTAATTGTGACTTTTGCTCCATTTTAACACACTTTATTTTTTATTGTGGAGTATGGAAACCTGCAGGAGGTTTAATCTATAGGAGGGAGTAGAGATGTTTGCATTAATGATCTCTTTTTTTCACTTTTCTCATTCAGATAAAGATTCCAAAGAGAAGAAGGAGGTGATATCAGAGGCCAGTTTGAAAGAAGAAGCGGGAGGTGCAGAGGAGCCTCTCAAGGAGGCTAAAAAGGAGAAGAAGGAGCCATCCAAGGAGAAGAAGGAGTCAAAAAAGGAGACAAGCAAAGAGGCTAAACAGGAGACAAAGAAGGAGTCCAAGAAGGAATCATCCTCCTCCAAGGAGAAGAAGGAGTCATCAAAGGAGAAGAAGGAGAAGGAGGGGAAGGAGGCCAGCAAGGAGTCAGGGGACAAGAAAGTGTCCAGGAAGTCATCTGTAAAAGTGAAAGAGAAGAAGAAGGAGCCAGAAGCTGGAGAAGGCTGACAGGAGCAATGCAATAATCTGACATGATATGCATACAAACACATACACAAACAAAACACAAGATACATGTCAAAACATTATACACATACACAGATCGCTCATATAAATATACATATATGTATGTCCATGTAAACATATATAAGGAGCACAATTCGACACCACACACATACACACTGACATATGCAGTTTACATTATATATTTACATGTAAATATACTCATTCAAGGCCATATATCTCAGTAGCAAAGCAGTTTCCTCCCAGATGCATATTTACATTGTCTAGTAATAACCGATCCTCACACACATGCTCTGTGTCTCTGGGCTGCTGCTGCTGAACCACGCCACATCCAGTAGTTTTGGTGTGTGTGCGCTGGGCAGCTGTGGTGAGGTCTGAGCCCACGGAGAGCGAGGAAGAAGGCAAAATCCTCCTCCTCGCTCTTTAGACATTTCGCTGACTCTCTACTTCCTCCTCCTCCTTGTCTTCGTCTAGCCTCAGAAGCAGTTGAACCCACAGCCCTGAGCCTCCCTAATCCCAGTCAGGCCCCAAACCGCCCCCCGCGCGCCCACGCTCACTCCTGGATGTGACGTCGGACCCGCCCTCTCGCCCCCTCGCGTGGCACCGGGCCTCACCAGAGCTTCCCCCGCCTCGTCGCTAAGAATAAATCGCCTGCCGTGTCGAACAGCCCAGTTGCTTCCGGGTAAATCAAGGCCACATCCTACAGCCTCCACCCCCTCTGACCTCTTCCAGTCAGTTTTGTTTTTCAAATCTGGGACACTCAAGGACACGCGGCTGCTGATGGACACATACTTGGTGCTGTGGGGTCGGACCTGAGACTGTTTTTGTACGCTGAAAACCAACAGGGCGTTTTCTGGAAAAAGCAGGGTGGTAATCAGGGGAGAAGAGCCTGCAGGGCCGGTTTAACACCCGAGGCCTTTTCTGCTCATCTTCAAGAACATTATGAAGATGAGGCTGGATATTAAATCCACTCCACGGCACGTGTGTCGTCTATAACATCAGCAGCTTAGCTAACCAGCTCCACTAGATACAGATTGATATGTTACTGTAAGATGACCATTACTAGCACCAGAGGAAGAACAGACTCTTTCAGCAGCAAATAAACAGACAGTAGGTGTAGGTTTCAGAATAAAATGCACAAGGTACTAAATGATTTAAACGACCAGTTCACTTAAAATACAACAAAGAAATTTTTTTCCCTACTTTTAGTGATATCTAATTATGCAGATGGGTTGTCTTGTTTGATTTGTGAACGTTCTGAGAGGAGTATCATATTTGAAAACTACAGAAAGTTGGGTAAAATGTCTGGGCAGGTTTTTAGTCAGATATTTACTCAATTATGACATGAAACCACCTTTTTATAGCATAAAAAAACCCAATTAAAACCAAACTAATCAGAAACATAAACATACATCAGTGTGATAGAAATTACCAAAAATGACAGAAACCATCTTTAGGAAAAATGTATTTGACGTGTACTGTATTAGTTTGCCCCATGTCCCATCTGCTAACATGCGGGGGGCGGGGTTTAAGAACTATTCTGCAGCCAGCCAACAGGGGGTGATCGAGTTGTTTTTGCTCGACTTTTGGGAAGCTGTCATGACGTCCATATTTATATACTGTCCATGAATCAAACCAAAAATGTCTGCATGATTTGATACCACTGAAAACATCAGTCATAAATTGTTTGAAATGGCATAAAGAACATTGATTAAAACAAGATAAAGAATTGAGAGTATCTTCATAGAGTTTAGGGTTTGCTGAACAGTTTAAAATGTGTTTTAGTTAGAATGTCAGAAAAACCTGATCACTGAACTTGAAAATTAATCAGAAGCTTTAAAATGAAACAGTTGGGGATGGGAATCTGTTTCAAAACCCATTTCATGATGTAAAAAACAATGCAAAAAGCCATTTGAGGAGTTTTTCTTCCAGGATAAAGTAACCACTGTTTGTTAAAACTGAACAAAATGAAGACCAATTCTGGTCACATAGGTCCTTGTTTGACAGTTTTACAGACTGGAACCTGTTGATGTTGGAGATATTGAATTACAAGCTTAAAGAATGTTTTTCTCTTTCATTGTAGGAATGTAAGGCTTTGAGCAAACACGCACAAACACTCACACACAAACACACCACACATAATTTAGGAGCTTTGAGCTGTATTTCTGCCAGACTTGAAGCTTACAGACTTCAGCCATAGATGCTGTGCCAGCTTAACAAATGACAATCCCAGCAGCGTTACAAGTCTGCCTCTGTCAGGCCTCTCCAGTGGGAAACGTTCTTTTAGCTGATTTAACCACTGGTCATGGCTTCTCGTTGTTGTCTGACTGATGAAAAACCTGATTTAGGTTGGCTGTATTTTTTAGGGGTTTTAAATTTTAAATATTTGGACTTTTCACACAGATAAAAACAGATTGACTTGACAAGTGTCAGCTCATCCTTGCCAAGGAGGATAGTTAGAAAAGTGGGTGATGTTACAGAGGTTCCCATTGGACACAAGGTACTACATGTTTCAGAATACCTTGAATGTTTGTAATATAGAGTCGATTTTGCATTGTTGTAGTAGCTGTTCAGATGTGCCAGGCTCCTGTTCTGAGCCTGCTTTTATAGCCACATTTCATTCCAAAAGGAGAAGTTCTGCACTTCCAAACAATTGATTACTGTTACTAACGTGCAGCCTGAAGAAGATCCCCAACCAAGGAGTATGAGAATGAAATAAACCTTATTTATGATTTATTTAGTAATAAAAGTAATCTACTATAAGTAATCAAAGTCTTCAGTTTGTGATTTATTGCCATTTTGTTTATTGCAACGGTGGAAAGATACGTTTCCTTGTCTGTCTTTGCTTGTCTGGGTCTGAATGATGGGGTTGTGTAATCCCATTTTCACCTAAATTATTCTCTTCAACAGCAACAGACAAATCTGCAGATTTTTAGCAGAGAACAACATCTGCCGGTTTAAACTCTTTCCAGATTGAAAGTTACTTGATATAAATTTGAATGGTAATCTTTCCCTCAGAGTTCAGCGCTGAGTCATCTTCCTTCTGCGCGGGCACTGAAGCTGTAAGTAAATCTTAATTGTGACGAATTTCATGATATGTTGGGGTGAACCTGTAAAATTATATTTGCTTTGCAATGCATACCTCGTCTAGACATGAAGCTTGAAATTCTCAACTCATTGGGTAAAATTCAAATAATACCTTGCAATATTAGCTAGCTAACATAGAACACAAGTGTAACTTCACCTTTTAAATATAATGTATGTATGTTAAGCCAATTTGATAAATGAAGTCATGTGACACTGAAGTGTAATTCTCACACAACACAACACAGTGATATTGCGGAAGAGAAAAGAAACACAAGCAGTCAGATTAGACAGGTTGTAAACAAAACAAGGCGAATTGTGAAATTATTATTATTTTTAATTAATATGTCTGCTGTAAACATCCCTCACAGTTTACAGACCAACTTACTGTTTTAGCTTTGACTTATTCTACTTTTTCCTGTGCAATAACATGTCAGGTATTCCTCCAAATAAAGTGGTTGAAATAATCTGGATAAACTGTTGTTGTTTACAACCTGTCCCTTCTTCTGGTGTCATTATGTTTCCAGATGTCAACTATTACCTTAGTGAGTCCTCTGTTATCGTGACCAGTGGAAATGATGGACAAAACTACAACAATAAGACCAAAGTTGACTGTTTTAATCCAAGGTAAGCATGGAGAATTATAAAGGAAGGAAGTATATTTATTCATTTAGCTGACTCTTTTCTCCAAAGTGACTTACAATTTCTATATATGTCAGAGGTCACACTCCTCTGGAGCAACTAGGAGTTAAGTGTCTTGCTCAGGGACACAATAGTGGATGTGTCACAGTGGGGGATTGAACCCGGGTCTCTCACACCAAAGGTATGTGTTTTATCCATTGCGCCATCGCCACCCTTTATTTATATAGCATTTTTCCCAGAGTGACAAAGTGCTTTACAACATTAACATTTATGGAACGAAAACACAGATAAAGAAAATAAAAAGATAAAAGAAGGTAGAAGGAAAAAGTGAGCTATAAAACAGTCCATAATAAAACAAATAATAATTGCAGAGTATGTAGTAAGATACATGATAAATACACATAAGAGGTATAAAGAATTCATAATAAATACATAGGAGGTAATAAAAACACACAAAGAGATACATAAATCGCAGACCTGGTGAATACAGGTTACATTAAACATACTTAAGTAAACATACGTAATGTCCAACACTCATAGGCTGTGTGTAGCATTGACGCCCAGTACATAACTGAAGGGCTATACAGACAGAAGCAGTCGTCAAGTTACAATAGAGGATATGTGCTGATTCAGGGAGCAAATGTTATAAATTACTGGTTTTCTGCAGAGTTGATGATGGGAAACGGGACATGACTGAGTGTTTTGAAGGGCATCACAGCATGTGTTGAAAGTCTAAATTTCCAACTTTCCTTTTGTCTCCTGAACACAGCACTGTTCTTACATTTCTTTGTGTTCCCCGGAGAGTCGCAGACAAAGTGTAGAAACGAACCTAACACTTGTCAAGTTGATGAAGAGGACTCACTCTGACGGCTTTTGAAGTGATGTTTTTTTTTTTTTTCTTTTCCTTTCTTCGGGCTCTGGAGGCGAGGTTCGCTGCAGATTGGGTAACGGTGCTGAAGCAGAACTGCTGCTGTTTAATTTGGCAGCAGCTCTCAGTGTGTGTACATATAGGAGCGCTGCAGATAGAGTTACTCCCCCGCAAAAATACTCTGCCCTCTCAATATCTCTGTTTCTCTTTCTCAATCACTCAAATATTTACATTTCACTTTCACTCGTTTTTATCCCTCTCCCCATTACATTTTTTCATCCCCCACATCAGCCCTTTTCTCTGCATTTGTCAGGTCTATTTTTCCCTCTCTGTTATCTTTCCCTTCAACTCTATATTTTGGAAATTTACATCAATCACATCTTTGACACATCTTACAAAAAATCTACTTTTCTCTCAAATGTTTTTTAGTCACTTCCTTCTCTTTGTACTCTTTCCCATCTCTCCTAAAAGCTTTAAATTGTTCTCTTAGCTTTTTCTCTCCATCGCTCAGTCCTTTTTAGTTTTTTTCTATTTTCTCTGTTGGTTTCTAATCTAATTCAGATCACATCTACATTCCCTGATTCTGTACAAAATAACTCTATTGATCATTCTCTTCCGATCTCTCCATCCATCTATCAACCCTCACAAAACGATCAGCCTCTCTTTGTTGTTTCCTTCCCCGCCCTTCCCTACTCACTGAACGTTTCCTTCTCTCACAAACTTTACCTCCTCTGTCCACCAGGGAAACAAATTGGTTCCGACTTTAATTTCTTTGGCTGTATTTCTAGATTGCAGTTGCAGATGCTGGAATTTTGTTTTGAATATTTGTTTAGAATAATACACATCTCTGATCGGTCAAACACAAACTTTGTGTTGCTCAACCACCGTTTCTGGACACCATTTGTTTTCCTTTTGCTACAGCTAAGAAACAAAGTTTTTCTGCTGCACAGTTATTAAAACAAGTAGTAGTAGTAGTAGTACAGCCACAAAATATCTCTTATCACATTGACAAGCATTAATCAAACATGTAATCAAGTCAAATCAATTTTATTTATCCAGCACAGTGATTCTCGAACTGGGAGGCGTAGTGCAGGGAATTGGGGTTTTTTTGGCTTCGGCATGGCAGAAAATGTTTGAGAACCACTGATCTAGTCCAATATTACAAATCACAAATTTACCTCAAGGGGCTCTAAATGCGCACAGCTTACAGCAGCCTCTGTCTTTAGACCCTCAACCCCAGATAAGGAAAAACTCCTTCCAGGACGGACAGACATGAATAGACCAGAATGGCAAAAATCACAGTATGGACAATCACGATGACAAAATTATAAATAGATTTTAAACATATTTGAGGAATGTGGATCCGGGAGGACATAGTGTAGCTTCCAGGTGTCGCCACACAGATGCAGTAGGACCTGAGTTACATAACGTCCTCTCCACCATGGAGACCTGGAAAGAGGACTACACAAAAACAGAAGAAGCAAAACTCAAGCACACCATTCACACAGAGGAGAGGCTGAACCTCCTGATCCAAAACATCTGGTCCCAGGATGGTCCAGCACAGACAAATCTGAGTGAAACGAGAGGACAAGGAGAAAATAAGGAGACAGATGGAGGGGGAGACAGAAAGGCCCACAGCTTGTTGACACAACAAACAAACCTATGTGTGTTCAATCAATACTTGAACTTCTCGTCCCTTTGGCTAAATCTTTGGACTTTTTAGATATGTCTGATTGTTTGTGTGATTTCCTTGTAAAACACAAAAAATGGAAGCCAAACAATAAACATTATAGGAAATGTGTCCGACTGCCTTAAGATGCTCTGCTGCTGAGAGCCTGTCTGCCAGTGGACATTTGAACTGGACGCATCCACATCCAGTGGACCTCATTTCTCTTTCATCCTCAGATTTCTGTTTTCTCTCACAAAACTAGCTCATCACCACCCCTTTTTTCTCCTCTCTTACATTTCTTTCTTTCATCAGCCTTTCTTCCAGAGCGCCACTTTCTTCCGCCTTTGCTCTCTGGTTTGCGTGTTGTATTTTTGACTTTAAACACTTTTCCAGATTTTGTTTTTTCCTCCTCAGTAACTTCTTCCCTCATTCTCGCCTCGGTCCAGTAAACCAGCTCTGATGTGAGGAACCACCAAACATGGCTGCACACACCCCACTGTTAAAAACATCAAACAACAATTCTTCAACAATCAAAGTGTAACTGGGTCGCAGCAGTTTGAGTGAAGAGTGAAATAAAAGCGGAGTTTGGATTCAGACGTTAAGGAGCAGCCGTCTCACTGTGGGTTTTATTTCGGAGCTTATTTCTGTCTCTCGGGGGTTTAAGGCGTAAACAAACTGGATTAGATAATTGCCGCATCATTTTACTCTCACTGCAGATTTGAAGCGTCAGCAATGTTTCACCTCCGCCACGGGGAACTTAAGTGGCTCGGATTTCTTTTTTTGTGTGAACAACACTGATCCTATGTTTTGATCCCAGGGGAAAATTACCAGAAATTATATTTATTTCCTTGGTAACACAGCTACATCATGTTTTTGTTTCCCTAAATGACAATACAACATATTTCTCTATTCTGAAGATAAATATATTTTAGACCATATTTTCTCCTCCTCTGTTACCATTCATATTAAAACTTTCTGTTTCATAAGGAATGATACAAATTATAATTTGGACTTTGAAATTTAAACTTTAGATACATTTATTTAAATAGATAAATAGATTTAATAAATTACCCATAAAAGAAACACTAGGACACCACAAAATCCCTTAACTGTGTCATATTTTCTTTAGGCCTATAGTACAATGCTGCCACCACCTTTGTTAATCCAGGCTGGTCAGGTGTCAGAGACAATAAAATATCCACCACACAGACAGATTTACAATAGTATGTATAGTACGTGCAACCCAAGAACGTCAGTATTGGAATGCATTATGATCTGAGACACTGTGTGTAAAATTCTTCCTTTCGACATTATCTGCACATGGCAACTACAGTATGGTTAAGGTTAATTAAAGACTAGGACTCCAAACTGTAACTGTAAACACTTCTACCACTAGAGGGGCGGAGGACGCCCTTTAACCAGATAACACAGCATCTGATTTAGGCCCCATCCACACTACTCCATTTTTTGAGTTTTAAAACGAACGATCTCCGTCCGCACCAGT